CATAGATGAGTAAGACCATTGGAGAAATCATAGCTAATCAATTGCTGTATCGTTTTCTAAATATGGATATACTCTAAACCGTTGTGCCGATGCATACCACATCACTGAACAAAAGTATTGGAGACCGGAAGATAAAGAGATGTTTATTGATTTACTATGCCATCACCTCTGAAAAAGATTAACTCGAATATATGATTTTATAGTCCACGAAATAAGTGTACAAATTTCTCTTAAGTATCATTCGTCAATCTTGCGATTATGGATTAATTCATTGACTTAAAACATTTCTTTGGATATGAGTAGAAGAAAACGAATAAAGTCATTGGTTGATAAGGATTCATTTACTACAAGGTATGCAATCAGTAACACAAATCGTATGTTTATGTGCGAAAGTCCTAATGTATACGGATGAAATAACAATCATGATAATTCATGATTCCTGCCATCTTCAACTCATATTGCTAGTTAGTAACTTTCTTTGTAGAAACGAGAACGTTAAATGGACATGGCAATGGTGAAATCAATTAATTTGTTATGTAATGGTCGGTGAAACGAATATTTCATCTTATTTCATTGTCATGCTGAAAAATGTATGAATGAAACCTTCGTTGCATAATTCCACTGTGATCTATGCTCATTGAACAGCTAACTTTGCATAAACTTTGAAAATGAATCGAAAACAGATGAATAAAACGGTTACTGTACGATTATTCATTTACATAAAGAAATCTTTGGAATTTTAGACGCTTCAAGACTAATTTTGCGATTGATTAGTATTTCAGAATGCAACAATCTTCATTTTGATTTATCGTTCATGCGGTATTCAATCAATTGGTTGAATTTCTATCAATGATTTGAGTGAAATTAAGTTTAGTGAACCAAGCCATTTTAGAAAGCGTTATTATAATTCTTTTGTTATGTATATGATGATCTATTTCCACCAACACACATAGTTTGTTTCACTATGATTAAAGTAGGTGAAAATATTCGTTCAGATGATTCATTTAACGTGTAATGATAGATTGGTTTGGCGTTTTTCAAATCTTGTTTTCTCAAGTGAAATAGGCAAACAAAGTAATGATCGTAGTTATCTATTTGCCACATGATAGGAGATTATGCCACGAACTCTAAAGTACTGTATAAAGGTTAGTAAAATTCATGAACAGAAGATTGGTTCAGGATATTTGGCAACTTTGTATTCTCTAATTTATTGATGAATTCATAAGCATCGCTTTAGTATCTCAAAAAATAATTGATTACAATCTTGCAACATGTTATTAAGACTCCTTTGCCATGTGATTATTCGATCAACCGACTGAATCGCCACACTTGCTTCGAAATGAGCATAATAGATGAATACAACTCTCTTCAGGAATATTCCTTTCAATTGCAGTATTCAATCAACTGACTGAATCGCAACCGTTGCTTCGAAGTGAGCAGAAAAAGTGAACATAAGTATTTTCATGAATGTTCTTTTGTCATGTAATCTTCGATCAGCTGATCGAGTCGTAACTTTTGCTTCGATGTGAGCAAAAGAAGTAAACAGAAGTATATTGATGAATATTTGTTTGCCATGTGATCTTCGATTGACTCACTGAGTCACAAAGCTTGCTGCGAAGTGAACAAAAGAGATGAACAAAAGTCTAATAAGTAATGCTCCTTTATCATGTGATTTTAGATCAGCCGACGAAGTCGCAACATGTGCTTCGAAGTGAACAAAAAAGCTGAACAAAAGTCTCTTTAGGAATGTTTCATTCCGATGTGCTCTTCGATCAGCTAAACGAGCCGCAAAGTTTTATTCGAAATACATAAAAGAGGTGAACAGAAATATTTTGATGAATGATCCTTTCCCATATGATCTCTGATCAACTGACCAAATCATAACGTTTGCATCGAAGTGAGCAAAAGAGGTGAACAAGAGTCTTCTGAGTAATTTTCCTCTGCCACGTGATTATTGATCACGTTGGCTGAGTTGTAACTTCTGTTTCAAAGTGAAAAAAACAGGTGAATTGGAGTCTGCTGAGTGATTTTCCTTAGCCATGTGGTCTTTGGTCAACTAACCGAGTCGTAGCGTTTGCTTCGAGGTGAAAAAAAAAGGTGAATAGGATACTGATGGATAATATTGCTTCGAAATATGATCTTCTATTAGCTGACCAATTTGCAACATTTGCTTCGAAGTGAGAAGAAGAGATGAACAGAAGTATTTTGATAGATGTTCTTCTGCCATGTGATTATCTATCAGTTGACTGAGTCGCAACATTCACTTCAAAGTGAGCAAAAGAGGTGAATAGAAGTATATTGATGAATGTTTCTTTGCCATTTGATCTTCGATCGGCTGATCAAGTCGCAACATTTGCTTCGAAGTGTCCAAAAGAGATGAACAAAAATTTGATGAGTAATGTTGCTTTGCCACGTGGTCTCCGATGAACTGATCGAATCACAACGCTTGCTCCGAAGTAAGCAAAAGGGGTGAACAGAAGTCTGATGAACAATGTCCCCTTACCACGTGATCTCGGATCAGCTTACCAAGTTACAACAGTTGCTTCACAGTGAACAGAACATATGAAAGAAGAAATCATCTCTGTTTATGTGAGAAGCATTGATGGTCGTTTTTTTTTATGGTTCTTTTTTGAGTGGAAATTTTTTTTTAATGGTTCTTTGGATAATAAAATATAATAACGTCACTAGAGATAGAACTGGTTTGGTTACAAAGCATTATGAGAGAATCTCGTATGAATATGTTAACTTGATAAATTTATTAATATGTCTATCTAAAGGCTTTAAAAATAAAAATGTTTGCATTGAAAATATAAAACGGACATCAATTTTGATTCATATCAATCTCACTGATTAAAATGAACATATTCGTCAAATTGATTTTGTCCAATAAAAATGACTTTTAATAAAAACTATGAAGACAAAGTGATAGAAATATTTCGTTGTAATCCATTAAATTGAAGTAAATCGTAATTTATGTGTTTTATCATGAGAAGCCGCATTGTTTCATATTTTTAATATAAAATTCATAAAATTCATGTTTCTGTGTAACTTTCAATTACTTGAATATCATGGTGAAGAGAAACAGTTAGGATGCTTTATATTTTTTAAATTCGTTCTTAAAGCAAAATCTTTGAAAACACTCAATCAATGATGTTGACAGTTCTCTGAGTGGCCTATAAAACTGAAATATGAACAATTTTTAAAGCATAGTGTTTCGATTTTCTGTATAAAAACATTTTCACTAGCGAAAAAAAGGTTTAACACATTTTTCGCGTTTAGCCAACGCTTTCGTTAGTCAACCACGACTGAAAATATTTTTATATCATGTTCAATGTAGAATTTAACGCACTAAACTTTTGTATAATGCACTTATTTTAATATCAAATAAATAATTGATTATTCGTTAACAAGTGGATATTTAATAGTTTTTAATAGTTAATGAGTAACTAATGAACCTTATAGCTTTGTTTTCAACGTCTAAGTATTCGACGAGCAAGCGAATCGAAAATAAAACAAAATTGCCTAATTATTGTTTCAAAATAAACAATGTTTTCAGGTTTGAGTAGAGGGCTGCAGGGTACGCTATTTTGACAACCCGACCCTGCCCTGCTCTTTAAGTTTTTTCGCGTACCCTACCCTGACCTACCCTATTCAAAACCAGAGAAAATTTCCAACTTTCGTATCAATTTATTATACAATTTCGTTCGGCTTGTTACAATCATAAAGCAAAAAAAACAAAATTATATATCTCGAAAATTTCTAATCATCAAAATATCATCAACAATATCTGAATTTAAAAACTGTTTTCTTTTTTCTAATATTCGACCTAATGAACTAAAAAACACGCTCGAATGTAGCTGAACTTGCAAGAATTCCAAATAAGAGATGTTTCAAAAATATCACCCGAGGCTTATCTCACCTTATACGTGTTATTCTTGGGAAAATATTTTCATTCTCTATGCTGCTTTGCAGTTTCATCACTTGCTCCTCTCCGAAATTCACGAACATCAATTATGAATGCCTTTCAACGACTTAGCTAATAAAGCAAGTTGTGGAAATATGAAAGAATGCTTTTACCACCATCTTAACAACGTATCATCATTGGAAAATGAAAGCTTGGTGTTAATATGGCGATCAAGTTCATCAGAATTATCATTACAATCCTCGTCCTCATATACTGCAAATCCTTGCATAACATCTTTTTGCATCACTGAATTGTTTTTCTTTTTTTTTGACGTCTTATTAGCAATATTGATTTTTGTTGTAAATGTTAAAGATGAATCTTCTTGTTAAATACCAATTGTTTGAATTATTTGTCGAGTATCAGCATAAATTTCATTTCGAAAGCTGCTACTCAATGTCTAAGGCAAATTTCATAGATAAAAGAATGATTTGGTGGTAAAAATTAGCTTACTAAAAATTTTTTTGTTGCTGGATAAAAAGAGGTAGCAATACAATGCAAAGACGCTAAATAAATCTTTTCGTCCAGCATCTTTGAAACAAGTATTTTTGAATTGAGCTAATAATAAATGATCATCTTCTTTAATTGGACATGAATTTTTCAGTTTCGTGAACCAAGGTGCAACTGCATGGGGAGTTGAAGATGTATCAGCAGATAATTATTCACTATCTACTTTAAATAAGGATAAAAATTTTACTAAATCCAATAATAAATTTCGATTGATTTCATTCAAGTAATAAGTTTTGTTTCGATAAAGCAAAAAGATCTTCACATTTTTAAAAATTAAATGATATAGATTAACGTATATCATGAATAGAATTACAAAGTGTATCAACATTCAACTTAAGACAAGTTTGTAATAGTTGATTCATTTCACATCTTTTGATATATATGTAAATCCTCACCCTTCACAATATTGAAAGGTCGAATATCAAATGAATAAATTTTTGCACAAGCAATTGTTATTGATCATTTATCATCCACTGTCACACTAACTTCAGTGGTTTTGATAAATAACTATCAAGGGTTTTATTGTTTTTTAGTGTATTTGATTTAACCAAACAGTTTTTAACATGATAGCTAGTTGTAGAAGTTCCATTTGATATGGAATATATGATAATATCTCATAGCACAATCGACATTGTACGAATGGTTGATATTCATTATTTAAACATTTAATACGTAATAAATGTTCCCAAAATGAACCGTGAGATGACGATGGTGGTTCTACTATTGCTATAAATTCACCACTTTTAAGTTTTTCTATCATGTCCTTCTTTTTTCGTTCCGTATCCTTTTTTGAACTAGACATAGTCAATATATCACTAGCAGAAAAATCTAATTGATATTGATTATGATATCCGAAAGATTAATTAATGATGATAATAGAGAAAAGAATAACATAAAACTCAAAATAAGAAAACTAGATGCACACTTGAGTAGGGTACAATATATAATAAATAGGTTACCGACATGTCTGTTCCTATTGAATATCTTTGCGACTAATCTAAATTGATTTTTCAGTTCATTTTCACTTCTATCTTTTTCTTAATGCATCACTTTAGAAAAGATATCGACAATATCTAGCGCATAAAATTAGTCATAGGTTGACAGATTACGACGATCGTGCCCTGTAACCTGTCCTGTAAATATTTTCACAAGCTGGTCCTGTCCTGTCCTGCCCTGCCATGGCAGGGTAGGGCAGATTATCTATACCCTGCAGGGCTCTAAAGGAGCCATCGGCAATCTAATTTTTATATTAAGATTTTCTAGTTTTTTTTTATACGTGTTATAAACAACATTCAAATATGTACTTATTAAGTCGATCAGGCATGAATATTGCAGTGTTTTCGTTCTAAATATTAATTCTCTGTTCATATTATTGATTAAGTTTTATTAGTACCTTTCGGAATAGTCCATGTCTAGCATTATAATGAGTTGTGCTGAGATTGAAGTTGATGATCTATATTACTAGCTCTAATGGGTGTGAATGTGGCTGTTGGTATCGAGAAAAAACGACATACTAGCATCCACACCCACCCACACCTTCTGACTTTTTGCTTGTTAAAAAATTTATTCAATTATTTGTCTCTATGAATCAAACTATTTTAGAAACAAAAATTGTCATAAAGTGACACATCTATTTCATGCCATTTTGAACAAAACTTTAGTAAATGATCGACAACTTACTGACAGCAAAAGATCAATCTCGATTATAATTGAATAATAAAAAACTGAAATAAACTGTAGAGAACAAATGAAAAAAGATGAAGCAGAATATATACTCTCTATTGTAGAGAATATTTGATACAAGCGCGTATGTCTACCAATGTTTTTCTCGGCATGATTGATTTAGACATTAGTAGAAAACACACTACCACACGGTGCATTTATTCACTCGGCTATTGCCTTGACCTGGTTTACAGCCAAAAGCTTTGTCGAACTCAATAAAATTCGACGTAGGACCAAGTACTCTAAAAACAAAAATTATTTATGATAGTACAGGAAGATGTATAAGAGAAACTCTACCTGAATTGTGATGGTGAGTGTTTATCTATCAGCATATAAGTGTTCGCAATTTGGTCTGTCATTTTCGTACACCATATGTAACCAAAACTGAGAAAGAACATCTGTTCTGCTGAATATTTGGCTAGACCTGGAAGCTTCTTGTCAACATTTTTATGAGTCTTAGCCCACTGTTGATACGCCTTGAAAAGATACAAGTTTTAAATTCGAATCAGTGAATGATAAAAATTACGAAGAAAGTCTGTTTTAATGCAGCATTATCAGCAATGTCTTCATTCTCTGTTATTTCACCTCTCACCTAAATAAAAAAGAGTTCTTTACCTGCACAAACTGAAACTGAAAGAAAGAAAGACCTGACGATTGATTTGAGTCCAAGTGTAATTGTTGTACTGTTCAATGATACATTTTTTGCGTTCGTGAAACGCTTCGATAGTGTCATTAGTCCACCAGGAAACTTTGTTTCCATCCATGTCATACTTCCGACCGTTATCATCAAAACCATGTGCAATCTCATGCCCCATGATAAAGCCAATGCCTAAAGTCAATACCATTTTTTGCTTCTTGCTTCGAACTGAATCCATTCTTACCGCCATAATTGAGATACCTATCAAGTACATAAGATATATTTTAATATGAGCAAATGACTTTTTACTTTGGTGCATCTTTGTCGAACAAGGGTGTTTGAAGAGAAGCAGCTGGAAAAGCTGAAGAGAAACTAAGATATAACATTTTATTGTCAGAATGCATTTCGTACTGATCTCATTGAATGATAGATGATGTATGGCATTGACATCTGTGGGCATAATACCAATCCATTCGTTTCTATTGACTGAATCACGAAGTACACGAAGATTTCTTTTCAAATTTAGTTGAATTAAACTCAAAACGTTTGGCATAAAAGATGAATTGAAGTTATACTAGATTTGAAACAAAAAAGAAGAATAAATGGTAACAAAAAATAGATTGTCATTTTATATTACACCTCAGCATAGTCTTTCTCAAGTTTTACTACATCATTATTTTCCAAATAATCAGGATAACCAACTTTTTCGGTCATAGCTCGAGCCTGTATAAAAAGCAGTTTTATTCCTAGTTCAAGATCAATCCATTGATTATTCTACTTTTTTAATCGCCGCAATTTTTGATTTCGAATCCATCCACATCGATTGATTGATCATGTTGATGAATACATTTCGAATAGTGTTGATCATTTCGAGTGCCTATCAAAGAATGAAAAACCAACATTTAATATCAATGGTTTATTATTGCCAGTACCTCTTTCTGAGCATCCTTATCAAAATATTCATTGATATACATTTTGGAGGTCACCAAGCCCATAACTGCATCGACGTAACTAGCACATATAACTGGGCGTGGTCGTTCAGCATTGATGCCTTGGAATGCATAGCTATACTGTTTTGCGATATCTCGAAATCGTCTTGGCATATTCCAAGCTCGATTCATCATGAAAAGCCATATCATATAGTTCTGCATGGTACGCGGTGATTGTTGATCAACAATTGATGAAATATCGCGCATAACTTTAGGTGCCAAAACAGTTACAATGTCTGAATCGATGAGCGACACATTTCCGAACAGATACAAACGACGAAGATAATTGGTAAAATCAGACTGAATGAATAGAAACATGAGGAGAAAATGGTAGAGAATATGAGAAAATTAACACTCACACTAATGTTGGCTGCACGCGAAAGGTTACCGACTGTTGTGCGGATAGTATTGCTTAAAGATTGTTTGTCTACTTTTATAGAGTACTATTTGAAAGAAATGAAACAGAAAGCACGTATGAAAAAAGAGATTTACTTTTAAAATTTCGATTTCAAACTGGACGACAGCAAGAATATCATCATCGATTTTTGATGTGTCGTTGGCCAATGCTAAAGTCAAGTTCTCAAAGAACTGCAAATAAGCTTCTGCTACTTTCGTTCCTTTGGTATAATGGATCAAATTTTCCTGAAGAAGATTAGTTGGGCCGATCTGAAAGATATACATTCATCATCAACGACTCTAACTATTGAGTCTTACTCGAATGCTTCGAACCGACGAATTTTGTTCGTCGATAGTTGTCTTTACTCTGTACCATATGAAATTATTGTGCTGGCTTAATTTGAGCATTAGACGAGCAAAATCAAATTTTGTTTCGTTCCATGTCGAACCTTGCAAGATAGGCCATCCACCGAACTCTGTATTGATGAAGGAGAGTATTACATCGACACCTTCCGCTTCGATAGCACTTTCGTTGATACAGGAAGTATACAAGCGACGAGCATTAGTCATTGCTTTAGACTCTATTGTTCCATTCTGCGGTAATGATGAAAGCAGATCTTCGAAAAACAAGAAAATAAATAAAACACAGGGATAATTTACTGTACCGACAAGCGCGTTCTCCAACTTTGTCAACATTCCTGAAATAGAACGTTGCACACCATCTGAAAATGACAGAATATAGTATTCACTTGATTATCTAGAGCTTACTATCAGGTGGTATTCGCGCCTGCTTAAGCCATGTTCCACAGGCGAACTCATAAAAATTTTCGCACGGATCCATTGTCTCATCAATACTTTCGAGCAGATAGTTTGCTAAATAGATAAAAAGATCCCCACTGATGTGACAAAATATACTGACCTGCTTTAATGCAATATGGAGTTAAGCACAAATCACTAGTATCATTAACTGAAGTTATTATTCAATCAAAGATTATATATCAGTTATTTTGCCTGCTTAGAATTCATTTGCACGTACCTGCCGTTATTGTTCGTTGATCTTTTATCTTGTTTAGTTCGATGTCGTATAAAACGAGCAATACGATTATGGAAATCAGTAACAGAATGATAATAATGCCAAGCAATCGTGATGTATAACATTTGTTCGATCGAGATGACTGACTAAAATAATGAGAGATGAAATAACTGCACCCGAAATATAACTACTGGATGAACAACCCATCAATAACGCTTCGAAACCACTATTATTCATTTTCTCATTTTAATTTTTCTCATCAACTCACATTCAACTTACCTTTGATGAAAAGGCATATACAAGGTGTTCGCTTCTGAATCGCTTTGCATCGCTATTGTTTTGATCCAACTGAAATATAAGTCTAGGTAAAGATATATGATTTGATAGTTCTCTTCAACCTTCCTTCTTCGGTCGCTCACGTAATATGATTGTAACAATCCAACCTAACGTGTAAATTGTTGTTTAACCTCTATTGAAATTATCGCGATGCCTTTCTCTGTCTTTTATCTGTCCATATTTTTATGTGCTTTCACTTCGTCCTTCTCCTATATTTACTTTGGAATAACATTATTAGCCTGTCCTATTCCTCGTATATAGTGTTATCCATAAAAGGAATAAACGCTATGTCTTTTTCCATTCCTTATGTTTATCTCGTTCTTGTCCTATATGCACTTTGAAATAGTATTATTAGCTTGTTCTTCCCTCGCGCATAGTGTTGCCTATAAAAGGAATAAACGCTATGTCTTTTTCCATTCGTCATGTTTACCTCGTTCTTCTCTTCGTGTATTTTGAAATCGCACGCTCGACGTGTCTTTCTCTCGCACATAGTTTTATCCAGGACTACGCGTGGGAGGGTCTAGGTGTGGGTATGAGTGTAGGCTAGTGCTCGGCGTGACCGCCGTGACTTTTTTCAAAGATTGTGATCGTGACCGTGACCGAAGTTTGGTTACGGTCAGTCAAAGAAACGTTTTTGAAATTTTGGAAACCCCTGAGGGAGAGCACGGGCACTGCCGCGAAGTTACCCT